ATTTTCGTGCTTTCTCTCTCTCTTTCTCTCTCTTTTTTTTTTTTTTTGAACCAGCAACACAGATTCAGAAAAGCAAAATAAGAAAAAAAAGAATGACATTGAAATTTTTTTTTTTTTTGTTTTGAAGATAAAAACTGAAAATTAAATATGCGCAAACCTTGATAAGTCAGGTTAGAACGCTACAAGAATAATCTTGATAAGTTCTATAAAGCTCTAAGATGAACCAAAGAGAAAAGTCTCTCAAAAACTTAGATTCAATAGCTCTCCTCCAATTAGGGTTACAAGCCCTTTAAATAGGGAAATATAATTCTAATCAGAATAGGAAAATTAACACCCTAAACCCTAAGCCCTAAGCCCTAAGCCCTAAGCCCTAAGCCCTAATCCTAATAACCACAAATTGGGCCTCAAATAAATGAATGTTTAGCCCAAAATAATATAAAAAACGTGAAAATCATTGAAAATAACCTAAAGTAACATGAAATAGCAATTTGTTACAAATTGTGTCAGAATCGGGGGATTTTGACGCAAACTATGTAATTTAGCATAAATGACCTGAATCAAGCTTCTCTTGAACCCGAATGATGTTTACCATGCCTTGATAATTATCCAAGATTTGATTTACTTGTTGCATGTTGTTATCAACTCAGATCTGCTCAATAAGGCCATTTAAAGCTTTTCGCATCTTCCTAGCTCTAGTTCTCGTGACTGGACCTCCTGCAATGTGTAATGGATCTCTTGACGTGGTACATGTGGGGTCATCTTGATTCCCATCAACAGCTACCATGAGAGATCACGGTAGATACTATGACTTCCATCAAGACCATGGCCACACTACAGAAGAATGCCATAGCTTAAAGACTGAGCTGGAAGATTCAGGCGAAAAGGAATGTTGAATGAGTACATTTAGAGTAGAGATCCACAGAAGTTTGTAAAAGAACATGGACAACAAGCCTAGGGGTCTCAAACCGCAAATAACAGGGAAAAAGTGGGATATCAACAAGCACCACCACCTCTTCCACCTCCGGCCAGAATCATTCACATGATAACTAGGGGCCTAGAAGCGGGAGGGTTGAGCTCCAAGCAAGGGAAACTGTATGTTAAAGAAGTCAAGCATCAAAACAAAGCTCAGAAGAGGAAATTTGATGATGCAAAATGGAAAAACCAACTGATCACTTTAACAAATGTTGACCTCGATGGCATGGTCATTCCTCACAATGATCCTTTGGTCACTTCAATTATTGTTAATAACTACGAGGTGCAGCATGTTCTCATTAGCATTGGCAGCACACCTGATATCATGTATTATCATTACTTTGAAAGTCTTGGTTTTGACCCTACTCTTCTACAGAAACATGATGGTCTCATTTATGGTTTTAACAACCAACCAATTGCGGTTGAAGCTGTACACACACTCAACGTTGCAGTTGGAAGCGGCTGAACCTATGTTACTCCTTCGGTTTGTTTCTTGGTAGTCAAGATGGCTTTCTCATTCAATGTCATCATAAGACGACCCACACTCACTGAGATTCGAGCAACAGTATCTTAGTTTCATTTGTGCATAAAATTTCCCACACCCATGGGCATAGCAATGCTAAAAGGTAATTAGGAGGTGGTTAGACATTACTATATGACCTCGGTCACATGACCCACAAAGGAAAGATAAGCAATTCCAACTTCTGAAATCTCACAATCTCAAGCCAACGTTCCTAATAGGTCATGGTGGTAGAACTTGTTAACAATAAACTAGAAGATATAAATAGAGCTACCCCAATGGAAGAAATTGAAGAAGTGCAAATTGATGAAAGTGATCCAGCTCAAACACCATAGATTGGGACAAAATTGAACCCGAGAGAGAGAGAAGAGTTGATAGCTTTCCTTCGAACTAACAAAGATGTTTTTGCATGGACTTCTATAGACATGCCTCAGGTTTTGACTTTAGTTGCAGTGCATAAACTGAGTACTAATCCCCTAAAGAGACTAGTAGCCCATAAATGGGCTGAAGTGACAAAAATTGAAAACATCAAGTCTGATTCCATGATTTCCCCATTCAAAGACCAGAATTGAATTTGTCTTCTGCATACACGTGGAAAAACATGGTGGGCTTTATCTCATTGTGAAGATAAGATGGGCTTAAAAGAAAAGAAGGGCACGCATTTTTCGCACATGGGTTGATATAAAAAGTGGATTTTTGGAAGCAGAAGAGGACTTCCAAGAAGAAATCAGAGAAGTAGCCGGCAGAGAGTTTGAAGGTGAGTTTGAGGCAGAGCTTGCGCGGATTCTGTGCGAGTGACGACAGATGTATAGGCAGCCGCTAGGGACACTTCAGGCTACAGATCTGAGTTCTACAAATTGGGTTTTTGCTCTTCTAGACTTATTTTTCCTTTGTTTGGATATGGAATTGTGGTTCATCAATTTAATCTCAGATTTTACCATGTTTAGTATGAACTAATTTTGCCATCTAAGGCTACGATGTAGCCTGATCAATTTAATATAGAATTTCATGATTTTTATATTTTCAAGGGTTATTATTTCATGTAGAGTATATATTATTGTTCTTAATGCTTTTTGATGATTGGCCACCATTAAAACTGATTTGAAGAGCATAATTGAGACCGAGAAGAGATTTTATGCAATAGCTTTTAGTAATATATACCATGAATTGAACGAAAGCCAGAGATGGACCAACGTGATTTGTGCAGCATTAGTGATAAGTTGACTTAATTTTCTATGTAAACTAGGGAATTTCATAGAATAGAATGCATCTTTATCTATTTAAATTCACATAGAGATATAGTGGGTTAATAGGTGAAGATAGGTTTGGTATAACTTGAGAAAGTATATCGAATAAAATAGGAAATCCCGCTGTCACATGAATAATAAATACCTTGGAAGTATATTGATCTAAATTCTATATTAGTTGATGATGGTGAAGTCGGATGCTTTAGATTTTTAATTCTTGGTGTTACTCAAAGTTAATTTAGTTTTTCTTTAACTAGTTTAGTTATTTAATTTATTCAAATCATTTAATTTCAATTGTTCAAATAAAATTAGAATTCATTAATTTTGGTATTTAATTAGTCTACGGTTTCTGTGGGACGATACTCTATTTTCATCATTATATTACTTGAACAGACTAGTACACTTGCTAGAGTGGAATTAGCTCATCATGTTGCATGGAGTTGAGCAAAAATATTCGATTGCTAAAAGGGCATCCTTCTTTGTTGTCATCTCAGCCAAGAAGTTGAGACCTTACTTTCAGTCTCACCCGATAGTAGTGCTCACGGATTAACCTTTGCGACAAATTCTACAAAAACCTGAATGCTCTAAGAGATTGATCAAATGGGCAATAAAATTAGGAGAGTTCAATATCACCTTTCAATAGAAAACAACCATCTAGGCTTAGGCTTTGGCAGATTTCGTAGCTGAATGCACTTTCAATCAACCAATCCTTACCCAGAGCCTGATACGTGGATCTTGTATGTTGATGGGGTATTAACCCATAAAGGATCAGGAGCAAGAGCAGTATTACTCGACCTAGATGGGTTCTGAAGTGAACACGCATTGAAATTCAGTTTTGAAGCCACCAACATGGCCGAGTATGAAGCATTGTTCTTAGGCTTACAGTAGGCATTATAATTAAACGTCAAATCTGTCCAAGTCTATAGTAACTCTCAGCTTGTGGTCAACCAAGTCAACTCACTCTACAAAATGACTAAGCCCACCATGATGAAATACGTTGCTATTGTGTTTGAGTTGAGATCCCAATTCCAAAAGTTCAACCTCTACAAGATTTTTAGATCAGAGAATGAGCAAGCAAATTTGCTCTCGAAGCTTGCCTTAGATGATCTCCAAAGGATGAGGTCAGTTTATGTTGAAGTGCTTAATGAGCCGAGCTTCCAAAAAATAAGGGTAATGGAGATCAGCAACAATCTCGATACATCAAGTTGGACTGACCCGATTAAATCTTACTTGCTAAATGGCATTATCCCTACAGATAAGAAGGAAGAAATGAGATTGAGAAGGAAAGCACCTCACTACAATCCTATTGGCGGAATGCTTTATAAAAGGTTCTTCTCATTGCCTCTACTTCAAGGTCTAACCTTTTATGAGGCCAAATATGCATTGTAAGAGGTGCATGATGGTGTCTGCGGAAGTCATATTGGTGCAAGAACGTTGGCCCATAAAATGTTAAGACAAGGATACTATTGGCCAAATATGCTAAAATATGCTGAGAAATTTGTTCAACAGTACTCAAAATGTCAATTTTTCGTGTATCTAACTCATCAACCAGCTGAAAAACTCACGAATGTTGTAGCACCATGGCCATTCACTTAGTGGGGGATTGATCTCTTGGGACCGTTCATCAAAGAGGTGGTAGGAGTCACCCACTTGATAGTTGGAGTAAACTACTTCACAAAATGGGTTAAAGCTCAGTTGTTATCCAGTTTAACTTTGAAAAGGTTTGAGGACTTTGTGTTCAGGTCCATCATTTGTAGACATGAAATTTCAAATCAGATTGTTGCAAATTAAGGACCACATTTTAATTGCACTTCTTTCAAAGACTTTTGCTCTAGTTACAGGATAAAACTGCAACCCACTTCGATTTACCACCCAGAAACTAATGGAATGGTGGAATTAGTTAACATGGAAATCTTTGAGGGGATCAAACCAATGCTGTAACAGCACAAGACCAAGTGGATAGACGAGCTCAACAATATGCTATGGGCATACAAAACTACTAGTCGAATTGCCACAGGTACTTTTATGTCGAACTCAATTAGTTTTATTTAATTACCTTCAAAGTTAGTTTTTCAACCCTAGCATAAATATGCATAGCATATAAAGCAGATGCTAACCACTCACATAAATAGGTGAAACACCCTATCACTTGGCCTTTGGAACCAAAGTAGTAATTCCTATCGAAATAGGAATCCCGAGCTTAAGGGTCAATCATTTTGATCAAGGACGAAATGGACAACTACTTTGAGAAAACCTTGACTTGATTAATGACGTCCGAGAGGAAGCTCGACTTTGAACTCTATCTTATAAGTAGAAACTAGCGAACTTGTACAACAACCGAGTTCGACATTGAACTTTCAAAATTGGTGACCTAGTGCTCAAAAAAGTTGGACTTACGAGGTTCAAAACCCACTTCAGCAAGTTGGCATCGGCTGGGAAGGCCCATAAATAGTAGTTGAGATTCCACACCCTAGTGCCTATATTCTTCAAGATTCGAAGGCATAAGGGTACCCAAGGTTTGAAATGCCAACAATCTTAAGAAATTCTACCCCTAAGGGTTTAAAAGCTAATTCAATCCTAATACTAGGCATCATTCCCCTATTTCATTTGATGTTCTAATCAAATCCAAGATGAATTTAGTTTTATTATTCATGTCATTAATCTTTGCACATAATAGTTCACTCAAGAGCTTCATTTAATAAATATCTCAGCAATATAATTAAAACACTAAAATATCAAAATTTAAATTCATTCAATAAATCAAATTGTTTACAAATAATCAAATTGTTCAAATGGATGAAGTGAAGAGCTACTCTGCCGGCTGTTCAGGCTTATTAGCACCTCCGTTTTCTTCATCATCCACCATTACGAACTTAAAATCAAAGTTTGGCAGAAAAACGGTTCGACCTTTAATGTCCCGATCCCACTTCAATTCAACCTTGGGACGAAAATCCACAATACTACTCTCCCTGTTTTCCTTGACTTTTCCCTCTTGGTCCCCAAATGTGATTTTCGTCACATCGACCTCAGGATATTGCAATTTTACCTTATTTTGACAGTTAGTGAAGGCGACAATTGTGGTTAGGAGCCGGTACAGATTGACGATGTTTTTGAAAGTGCTGGATTTCAAGAAGTCTACTATATGCCCCTCAACAAAATGGCGGACCTGTAGCTCCAGCTCAATTGTTGCCTTCCTCACTTTATCCAGCTCTTTTTCCTTCTTCTCAAGCTCGTCTTCACAAATTTTCCTTTTTTGGTACGAGTTCTTCAAGTCTTTCTAAAAAGTGGCATTTTCATCTTGAAACTTCTTCAGCTCTGAGATCAAATTTGCCTTCTCCCACTTGGTCTCCTCGTTTTTCTTGACGAGCTCGACATTTTCCTTATTAAGCTTATTTCTTTCCTTCAAGCTCTTGAAAAACTTGTTCAACAACGTGTTGACAAGATTCGCCACTTACACAATATATTGAAGTTAAAAAATAATAAATAATAAAGGACCTCCATCTCAAAACCCCATACAAAACTAGAATCTCATACCTCAAAGATGTGGCATACCACCCCTACTCCTCCATGGATGGCCACTTCATCCTTAGCTCATTGACGATTCACTTCTAGGAAGTAAGTGTTGATGAACCTCTTTGCCATGCTTTTAATCCCAACCTCATAGAAGCTTGACATTGGCAAAGGAACATACCATTTTCCCCTACCATGAGGTATAACCTCTACTTCTCGAATTGACGGTTCAACTTCAATAGGAGAAGGTCAGAGGACAAACTCCACAATCTTCTCACTAGATTACTGTTGCTACTGTACTTCCACCCTCCGTCTCTTGATAGCAACTAGCTCATCCTCCCTAGCCTTTATAACAATCTCGGCCTCCAGACTTCTGGGTTGGGAAACAGTTGGAGCTTGAGCATTAGGCTGAGATGTAAAGCTCCCACCATCTCGTCCTTCCACCACCCTAGCATTCACGACCTTCCCCTTTTTCTTGGGGATACCAACCCCACTAGCTGCATCTAGGAACTTATTCATCTCACTTGCAAAACAAACCAAAGTTAAAACACTGATCAAAATGCTTCAATGAAATACAATACAATATAATAACACACCTCCACTCTACGAGCTTGGCCCATAGATTTTAAAGGCATCCAACATCCTGGGGCTTGTATATTAAAAAATAACCAATACATCTTCATCCCCCCTTATCAATATCTTCACATCTTCCCATTCCTCTAGGGTTAGACTATACTTGTTTAGATTTACTCTTCTTGATTTCCATTGACTTAAATTCTCCACCTCGGCATTTGTCTTATCCCATTTGCTGTCATCCACAAAGAAGAACTTATCTTTCCATCCTTTGATGAAAGAGAGTTTGACGGTGAACAAACCCATGTTCTCCTTGTTAGAAACTCAGGCAGTAAAGTAATACCACTCTTTTTCCCTTCCACTCCCAGCCTTCAACACATAGAAATATTTGAAGATGTTTGCAGTTAGGAATGACACCCCCTGGACTTGACTATATACTGCAAAGGCTATTATCAACCGTACAGCGTTTGGGGACGAGTAGCATCAACCCCAAATTACACTCCATCAAAACCCATACCAACAACTTTGGAATGGGAAATTACGACCCAACAACCATGTAATGGGCATACATGGGCATCCAGTGGTCCCGTGGGGTAGAGCAAGCCCTCTCCTCCCTTCCAATCGGCTTTAACAACACATGATCAAGCACCCTGTAGTTCTCAACTAAATATACCAAGCTACTTTTGCTTTTAAGAGACGTTTCATACTCTATTACTTTAGAAACAATCTCATCCTTAGGGTTGAAACACCTCTCCCTTTCATCATCTGCCTCTAAAATAATCTGAGGCATCGCCACATCCTCTTCTTCTTGAACCCTCCCCCTTGCTCTCCAGTGCTAGTCATCTCTTCTGAAGACATTATCACTACTATATTCAAAAGTAAAATAAGCAACAAGACGTTCACAAGTTACCTGATTTTGGTTGAACAAGACTAAAATGGAGGAAAACGCAATAAATTTAGAAGCTTAGGCATTAGCCATAGCAAAGTAACCGAATTTTGCTTTAAGTATGCCTGTATATATTAGTACAAATACTAGCCTCAATGACCACGATTAATTTCATCCAATAGTCGTTATTTTACCCTTTCAAATTCGACGATTAACTTCCTGTTGTGCCTTTTCCAATGTGATGGTTTCTTCTTGCAGCCTGTATTTATTACTGCACATCTTTCAATGACAACTGTCAATTGGCATACTAACTCCTTCCAAGGCTTAATGAGTGGGCCTACTTAGGCATGCCCTAAGTCCTTTCAAATACATTTTCCATCTACACTGCTTAACTACCAAGTGTTCCATCTCGTACTTCCTCAGCCACGGCCAAAACACATGACCACGTGTCATACATTTTTACCTTGGCTACAGCCAAAACACATGACGTGCCATGCATTTTTACCTCAGCTACAACAAAACACATGACCACGTGCCATGCATTTTTACTTTGACTATAGCCAAAAACACCTACAATAATCCTCAAGTCATTCACAAGTGAATAACTTTAAGGGAGGAATAGTGTAAGGACAGGACAGAGCAAAACCCAATGCTCTGACACTACCACAGTTGTATGGCAATTATAATGAGAATGCCCTTACCCAATCCTCCATCTCCAAGGAACCTACTCCGTTAGAACACACCACGCTCATTTAATGCGGTTGCTTCGTTAAGACACTTTACATTCACCTAAGACATTTATTCCATCAGACACCTCATGTCACGATTATCATGCTAAGTGAGCCACATGGGGACCCTGTCAAGGCATACAAATACTCCCATGGACTACTCCTAAAGGTAAGAGAAAAAAGCCAATCAAAAACCCTTTCATTTTTTCTTCTCAAAAAAGAAAACATAGACCACATTATTGCTAATTTAAGCATCTACATATCTACCCCGAGGACCACCCTTGGGGCTTTGCAAGTTAGTTCGAAGGGAAGATTATAACAATTGAGATCTTGAAGGTTTACTACAGTTACACTATGCAACCAAAGATCCTAAAGAATTAGTAATAGTAACAAACCAACTTCATAGTAGAGCAAGGTTTTTGTGAAAAAATTCTAGATTTAAATTATCAGCAGATCCGAGCTTAAAAATCAGTGCTTGATGAATCTCTAACAAAACTACTCTAACCCTTAACCACAAAAAAAAAAAAAAAAAAAAACCTAAGCAATGCTTGAGCGTGGTACATAGATACCTTGTTATGCATCAGAATAGCACATCCAGGCTCCAGCTGATCCTTATCAACAAACGACAGAATTCCCACATAACACTCGGGACCAACCGACGACGAGACAATCGCATGATTCTCATCGATCAGCTCCTCGAGATTCCCAACACTCATTGGAGAACCTCTCAAATCATCAAGTTTAGATCTATCCTCCTCGGCTTTCTCTTCCTGCGGTTTGAGTCGCTCCTGGTTAGCGACGAACTCTTCTTCCATCAGAAGATAATCCTTGATCCGCTCAAGCTTCAGCAGCAGGAGCTTGCACTTGGTGAGCGGTGTAACTGTTGGGAGTCGAGCAGCGGCTTCGGGTCCCTTTTACTTACGTTGCTTGGGGCCAACGCGGGCCGGAGGCGCCGCTGGTTCAAACTTCTTCTCCTTCTTGTCGGAGCCATCTTGCTTCCGGTCACCCGGTAATCCCGGACGGTTCAGACCGCCCGGCGTTCCCTGACCCATGGTTTACAGAAGGTTTCGATTCTCGATTCTCAGAAAGAGGAAGACGATGGAATTTTGATTTTTGGAGTTGGCTTTGGGTGAAGTCATAATTTTTTTTTTTTTTTTTTGTCTGAGATTTTTTCTTTGAACATGGGATATTTTGAAAAGGAAGGAAATATTATACTGTCCCCTATATAGAAACTAGAATCTTAATATTGACTAGTTTTCGCCACAACTTAGCCGTCTACCTGGGGCTGTTAAGTGCTTCTCCCGAGATTAACATAGGGTTTTTCTATAGCTGTGAGTTAAGAATATATTAATCATTGTATAATTAATTTTTTTAAAAGATAAAATTTTACTTTAAATTTATTAATTATTTAATTAAAATTAAAATTATTTATGTGATATTAATATTAAAAATGATATGTATTTGTATTAAATTTTTTGTATATCTAAAAATTATATTAATTTTCAATTAATTTATAGTGAAATTATGTCAAATTTTATTAAAAAAAAAGGCTCATCTATATAATATTTATTTCTTTGTATGTTAAAAATAATATTTGATATAAAAAAAAATTATTTTGTGCGCATGTGGAGTTCTTTTAAAACGAAGTTTTGGGCCTTGACTTATCTACTGATTCTAATCCAACCATCCAAGCATCGAAACCAATTGAACCAATCGTGAATCTTGCTTTTAGGCTAATAGTTCGACCCCAAACCTTAAGTGCGTGGGTGAAGTAGTCGGAATTTCGAGTTCTACTACCACCGTTGTGAACTCCGCTTTGTGAACTCCACCAAAAAGCGGCATAATGGCCACGCGCCTCATTTAAAAGGGTGGAATGTTCACCCGATTTAGGGATCGAATCCCCAGTTGCTAACAATTAACTCATACTAACTTCCTAACCATTACCCTTATAAAAAAAAAAAAAAAAATCAAACCAACCATATTTGGTGTATAAATGGAAAAGTTTTGTGGTAATTTAAATTGTGTTTAATTATATAATTATAAATTATAATTATTGAATTGAAGTAAGTTTTTTTTATATTTTAAACTTTATTTTTATTTAATTGTTTTTATTTTATAATTTAATAAAATTTAAATTAAGATATTATTTATATATATTGATAAAATAAAAAAATAGTATACATTCACTTATTAAAAATTAAAATGAAAAATTATTTTAAAATTACGTTGTTAATTTAAATTAAAAAAATTAAAATATTTTATTTTTAAAATATGAGTTGGATTATTTTATTTGATTAATTGTAGTAGCAAACTGCTACTCTTATAGTTACTAAACAAATAAAGACTTTATATTTTATTTAATTAATTAGATTATTTTTTTTTTAAATATTTTATTAAAATAATATAATTTTAAAATAATTATATTCATAATTTTAAAATAAGATGAATAAGTGAGAATTTTATAAAATTAATTACAAACATGACATAATCCCTATTGGTGAATGTTGCAAAAATATGTGAATTAAGGTAATTTAGGATGGTGAGTAGGGATGTCAACGGGGCCCCGCGGGGTCGGGGAGTCCCTCCCCATTCCCGTCCCCACGAATGGCAGGGATGAGGATCCCCGCAGGGATTTTTGACGGGGGTAGATTTTGCCCCCCCGTCCCCGTTCCTCACGAGGAATGGGGATCCTCGCGGAAATCCCCATTCCCCACCAATTAATATTAAATTATAAGTTTTTTTGTTTTTTACATATAATTAATTAATATTCAATTATAATAAATAAAACTCTAAAAATTCAAATACAATTAACTAAAATTTTTAACTAAAATTTTTAACTATAAAATCAAATATAAATTGTCCAAGTATAAATAAAAATTAATTAAACATAAATAACTAAATCAACAATTAACAAATTTGTTCCAAACATAAACAAAGATTAATCCAACCTAAACTAAAATATAAACAAAAATTAAACCAACAATGGAGGGGAAGATGAAAATGAAAAATTGAGAAATGAATTAGGGTTAAGGTTAAATGTAAGTAAGGGAATAAATTGGGTTAATTTTTATGGATGGAGTTGGGTTGGGTTGGGTTAGGTAAAATTGGGTTAAATTTAATTTTGATTGAATTGA